CATCGACTGTGACGCACTGTCGGGTGGAGGCACATAGCTTTTGGTTTTGTACTTCTAGTTGTGATGAACCCTAAACTTTAAAATCCTAAGCCCTTAGCCCTTAACTCATCACAAGTCACTTTTAAAGGTGGAGCAACTCGGGCCTAGGTGAGCGAGCCTGGGGGAATTGTGAGTTCTGGTGGTTTGGAAATCCTAGACTGAGCGATTTGGCGAGTGTTTAGGGTGTAGAGCGTGTCGGGTGTGACTAGGTGTTGAAAGCTGGGCTGAGAAGTTTTCTTTCGGAGGTATAGAATATACGCTGCCTTGGGCCGAGAGCCTTACCCCTAGAATCAGAACGCCTAAACGATTTGGGATGATTTGGGCCTACGGCTACAGGGCCCGGGAAACCCTACGCAAAGTTTAGAGTGATCTTAAGGTAATCACCGCCCGAACCCCAAATCCTACAAGGAAAAACCAACAGCTTAGTAACTGTGTAGGTGGCCTTTAGCCTTTTGGGGTTCATATAATCCTACCATACTTGAAAAGGTTAACCGTTTTTTGGGCTAGGGTACCCGAAACCCTACCCTGATGCTCCTGGACCCTCGTAGTCAGATCCGAAACCTTAGCCCCCAAAGCCCAAACCTTCGCCCACAAAGACCCTAAGCCTATTTGGAGCCTTAAGGTAAACTCCTAATCCCAAACTCAGCCCCTAAGACAGACTGGAAGGACTGGAACAAATGGCATAAGCGGCTCCTGGCCATCTCTGGCTTCCTTCAGTCCTTAGAGAAGCTGCTCGATCTTCAATGAGGGCTTAGGGTTTAGGGTGGCCCCAAAGTAGTTCCTTTTTAGGGGCTCATATAAAGAATCCTATAAGGTAATCCCAAAGGGAACTACTTTGGGGCCTATGGGTAAAGTCTAGAGTTCAGGCTTGAGGGGTTTTCGGATTAAGGTGTTGGAGATGTTAACCAGGGTTCCGATCGTCTTGGAGATGCTAATAAGGGTTCCGAGTTCAGGGTGCTTAAGAAAGGTCTGGGTGTTTGATCCTGAGCCTCTACGGCACAGAGGTATGAATGTTTGCTGTGTTGGCAGCTGGCTGGCTGGGCGGAGGGGGGGGAACGCTTGGCATGTGGCTTTGCGTCTATATTCCTGCAACCTTATAGTTGGTTACACACGCACCAGGCGCCTGGATAAATCGTGCATTGCACTAGGGGGGATGGGGGGGAGGGGGAAGGGGGGGGAGGGGGGGGGGGGAAGGTAAGAACGGGGGGTAAGAACGAGCTGATGCTCTGCGGGCATGGATGGGGTCTGATCTGGACGTTATCATGGTTGGGACATGGATGCTCTGCGGGCATGGATGGGGTCTGATCTGGACGTTATCATGGTTGGGACATGGATGCTCTGCGGGCATGGATGGGGTCTGATCTGGACGTTATCATGGTTGGGACATGGATGCTCTGCGGGCATGGATGGGGTCTGATCTGGACGTTATCATGGTTGGGACATGGATGCTCTGCGGGCATGGATGGGGTCTGATCTGGACGTTATCATGGTTGGCACATGGATGCTCTGCGGGCATGGATGGGGTCTGATCTGGACGTTATCATGGTTGGCACATGGATGCTCTGCGGGCATGGATGGGGTCTGATCTGGACGTTATCATGGTTGGCACATGGATGCTCTGCGGGCATGGATGCTGGGCACCCGGATGGGGTCGGAGTGCGGCGTAACGTCTGGTTCGAGGGCTAAACCGTAATTAACCTTATAAACCCTAAACCCTACACTGATAAGTGCTTTGCTTTTGCCAATATTGAGACCGTTTATAGTTTTGGGTCTTTTTTAAGCCGTATGCCGTGACACTCTTTGTTTTCGACTTCATGCTACACGTGCACGCTAGCAAGTACTGAGAAGCAACGCACGGTAGTCAGCTTGAAAATGTGCTGCTACGTCTTGACTGCACGAGCTCGCAGGAAACAGCTCTGAGCTTGCGGTCTGTGTGCAGGTTGCGAGTCTTGAGGGTTCACAGTGTTTCAGACAAGAGAAAAACACACCCCCAAAAACAGCATTTCCTGCTGTAAATTAGCTGATGTGTCACTAAAAATGAATAGTTTGAGCTCTTGCTAATAAATTGAAATTTAGCTAAAATCATACCAAAACCTAGGAAATAAGCACATTGAGACCCTTGAAAGTAGCCAGGCGCCTCACGCGCGTGTGACCTAGTTAGGGCCCTACACCCCTTAAGGACCCAATAATAAGGTCCCTGGAAGCCTAGGGTCTTGTGTGCAGTAGGCTGGTCTTCCACCGCACTGCCCATCTCGGACGTCACGGACTTGATGTGGTAGCTGGTGAGGTGTTGCTTCTTGGCTGCACTCAAGGTGTGCTTCTCTAGGGGTCTAGTGCGTACCCTCAACCCTAAAGCCCTGTATTTCGAGGAAGCTATGGTCTATAAGGTATAGTCGTCGATGCTTTGTGTGCTAAGGTCTGCTAAGGAGCTTCTGCAAAGCTGGGAAAGTTCGGTGCCCGACTAACCCTCATGGCGGAAAAGGACGGCTCTCCTCAGAGTGAACAATCAAGGCACAATCAAGGGATAAAGTCTGAAGTCATAAAGGCTGCAGGGAAGTCGCGTGACCCGGAGTTCGCGGACCAACAGCCTAAACCCTAAACTATATACACCCCGAACCCTGAACCCCAAACCTATATTATACACCCGGAGCCCTAAACCCTTGACCAATTCAGCTTTGTCCGTCTGTTCACCTCGCGACCGGCGATGCCTCGCGCGCCTTCCTTGGGCTCAACGGCCGAAGAGTAGGTGTCATGTCCGTGGGTTTACCACCCGACCCTTATGTAATATTGTACATTTATTTCATATCTAATGGTGGTCACTATCCTTAATTATGAACTGCTTATCATACACATGTGAAAGAATACCATGTTTGGAGACTCGGAGATGGAGGTGATGCTAACCAACATTTTCACGACGCACGACCTAGCTAGACCTGCGATAGGACGTGTAGTGAGTAGCTGCAGCTAAGCGCAGGTGAATTCTCCTACACAGGCCTGTCAGCTTTACCGAAACTGGGCTTGCCCTGACATCCGATTGTGAAGAAGAGACTGGAGTGGCCGGAGTCTGCTTTGCTCGGGGTGGAACTTAGATGACACACCTCTATTCAGTCTTATTACCCCCGTAGCTATGTAGTAAGGGATAATTCTAGTCCTATATAGCATGGCCCATGTAGTAAGACATTATAGCCCGAAAAAAAACCCGTACAGGACAGAGTCCGAGGCGTCAAAGTAGGCAGAACACGAAAGCCCGGGCCAAGCTCGAGCCAAATGGAGGCGCCAGACTGGACGGAGAGTGTGCAGGCGGAGCTCAGAACAGTGGTAGATGTATACATATATATATATACACACATAGAAGTACATATCCTTATGTTTTGCAAATACATACTAATATATTATTCCAGCTAACAAAAATTGAAAATTGTAGACTCGTAGATACTTGGGTTCAAGTTGATGGCAGTGGTGAGTAGTATGCGGCCTGTCTCGAAATGCCATTCTCAACATGTTTGCAACCCATGCGTACTGGTGTATAACACGAATCGTTCGCGCGATCAAAACAAGCGTGGGTTGTTGGGATAATGCGGCTAATACACGGGCTTGTTCCAATGACCATGCAGATAAACCAGCAGAAGCATGGATCTGTACATGGTTGGCGTGATGTGGATGAACTTCACATCGAACAGCCCCGGGAACTTGCATGGCAACCAGGCATAATCATTAAACCTGCCTTTGCGACGATATTGTAGGTACGGGTGTGACTGGGTGTGTACGCTATTTCAGTTATCGGCTTCCCTGTGCGTGTGAGGTGGAGGAGAAGAACCTCCAGGAATACTTATGCCCGGCACCGAGCTGCTGCCGGCCTTATGGGTGTGGTAGACACGTGTCGCGTAGTTACGGTAGAGGTCTGTGAGCAGAAGTGCTAACAGATACAGCTGCATTTAAGAGGGGTATGTGTGTGCGTGCGCATGTACGTACACATGAACACATGTATAAATTGTGTATCTGTTTAGTTTAAGATGCTTCCATTTATACACGGCTTGTCGTGCCTGGTGCTCTGTCAGGGCTGACGGAGCCTGCAGCAGACTTGTGCAGTTTGTGTCTGAGTGTTGCTGTCAGCATTTAGCCTAAAAATGTCTGAAGACTTAGCATTTGACAATATCCTCTTATGGCGTCAAAAGTCGTGATCCTCTTATAAGGTACCCTAAACTTACTATTCGGGTCATCAAGGCCTATATCTTCGAGATTGCAAGTTGCAGGCACCTAATGGCATCGATGCGCGGCTTTCATGCTATAGGGGCCTAAATAATTGCCAATACTATTATGGGGTTCCTTATTATAATTATAGTATAATGGGCCCCAAAACACTGTTCTAATTGTTAAGGCCCTTCTTTTACAATAGAGCGAGGCCACCATGCATTTGAGGCTTCTGGGGCTGGGGCTTTTTCAACTCCTCCTTTCCTCTGAGGTCAGAAGCAGCATACCATGGTCCTTCAGGGGGCAGTGCACACCCTGCAGCACACGCTGGTGCTTCAATCTCAGAAAGTTGTGGCAATCTGACTGGGGTGTTCGTCTCATGTTGTCATGCCTTCACTGGAAACAGGGATATGCGGGATAACGAAATCTTTGGTGCGAGGCATATCCTATTGACTGTTGTGGTGATGCAGCTAAACCTTCGACACTGCCCCCCCGCCAAGTAGCAGCACCTTCAATTTTATGTGTTTGACACATAAGGTCCTGAGTTGTAGCCCCGTTTTTGACTGTTACAGCGTAGCGGTGATGCGGCTAAATCCTTCGAGACGGGCTTGTTGGAATCGTGCTGACGATTTACCCATGGAGACACTTGGCGCAAGGGGACCCGTAGAGATTTTGGCTCAAGTCGCTCCGTAGAGAGCCTGGATACAGCTAGCTATCGTCGAGCTCGCCCGGTCACTTGTCTTGCCTCAGCCTGGTCTCCTCGACCACTGATGTCGCACGTCAGCTTCGCTGTGCTCTTGATAAGCATTGTCTCGGTTGTGAAAGCCTCCAGTCAGGTCAGGCTCGAAGTGCAAGGACTCGTCCTGTCAGGCTGGTACACCTACGGCCCCGACGTGTGCACCCTTCGTCACTATGTCGGATCCGTCGACACTTGGGGGTCTCTAACCGGCTACAATGCGGGTGAGAAGGCATCGGCATGCTTTGACCAGTTCCCGGATGGCTCGCCTTATCTTCTCTTCACGAATATCTGTGAGAACATTTGGGTTGAAAAGCCATGCCCCGAGATTCTGGATATTTACCGGCTGCGCCTGACTGTGAACATGGTGGGTAATGCCCTCGTGGTCAAGAGCGCTGTTAAAGACGACGCAAGCAACGATAATTGGTCCGATGAGAAAGAGACCGTCCTTCCCCCAGATGGCTGCTTTACAGAGCCGTGTGCCAACAAGGACTGCAGCAGGAAAGCTTCTGACAAGCAGACACCATGGTCAATTTGTTTCCGTGGGCCATGCAATTCGGCGTCGGGGCCGCGAGGCCCTCCTCTTGCGGCACCAAACACGACCGACAACGACGGTCTTCTCTTGAGTGCCGGCGCAGACGAACAGCAGCTGCTGTCAGTGTGAGACAGCCTTAGGGTTTCTCTATCTTTTTGACCATAGCTTGGACACGTGTGGTGTCAAGTCGTCGTAGATCGCTGAAACTGAAACTGATGAGCTTTCAAGTTTAAAACAAGTGGCTTGGTGGTTTGTACTGAAGCTGTTCTTGGCGTGACGTTTCCTCAATTTAATATTTTTGGCATTCCCGTATGGTCCTCGTTAATGATACCGTAGAACATACATGGGTAAAAGCTCAGTCCACTAATGATTACTCGCTTTATGATGATAGACTATGTACCCACCAACAATTTGCCCGAGGTCTGTCCCCACTACGCGGGCCGGTGATGGCTTCGTTCACTTCGGGGACATGCTCATCCTTTGCAGTGTCTGGGGCATGGGAGCCGGGGTTGGAGTAGGGTTCTGAGTTTCAACCGTTTGCACTTGGCGTCTCGAGTTGTGTTGTGATTCGATAAAGCAAAGTTGAACGTTCAGTAATCACAGTTCAGGCCTCTGGGCGCCTAGTCCTGATGCCCAGGGAAGAAATTCAAGCGGACACCCTGTTTATGCATAACCCCCCGCCCCAAATTCAATTGCAGTTCTATAAGCTCGAAGACAAAAGTCCGTCCCTGCTCAGTTCAACCTTGGCTTTGCCCAGGTCTAATGAAGCCTCTAGTTTTTATAAGAGCCCAGGTACCCCCCAATTCAGGACCATCTGGCCTCTATTCAAGGGCACTGGGGGGGGAGGGGGTGAAGAAGTAAAGACATGTACAGCGCTGACTGGTCTATTGGCTGGACGGAGCATCTGGGGAGGTCTGCGAAGGGAGGTCTGCGAAGACTTTTGAATCCTCACAACTATGTCCCTCCTATCATACTACGGCCGAAGAGGGACCGAAACTTGGAGAACTACACATGGATTGCGAAACGGAAGGCTATCCTTTGTTTGTGGGCACATCCTCAAAAAGTCCAACAGGCCTGGGCGACAAACCGCCTAGTCCTAACCCTATGCTGGTCTGTAGCCCCTGAAACCCTTCGCCCCCAAACCATCAACCCAAGCTCCACATACCTCTTCACAAACCCCCCATTATGACTTGGGGAAGTATCCCCCACGAGAGTACCTAGGACCATAAGTCCCCCTCCCCTGAACCTTTCTACCGCCGCTGCGGAGGCCTGCACCCGCGGTCTTTTGCAGGTGGATCCCGCTGCAGCCGTGACCGCCTCTTGGCCTCAACCAGCTCGGGGGATTCGGGGACCCTGAGCCTAAACCCCTAATGTAGGAACCTGATTGAGAAACCTTGGGCCTTTATGAGGGTTCCTTATATGAATCCTACTATTTTGTCATAGGCCCAGGGTTTCTTGATCAGATTCCTACATTTTACCTTCAACTAACAAAACCTGCTTGTTGTTTGTAGGGTCCCTGGAAATTCTGCATTTTTCGGTAGAAGTAGAAATTACAAAAAAGAGGTCATGGTAGGCTGAGGTATGGTAGGAGACCCTGTGACAGCAAGGCAAGGCTGCTACGGCTAGTATACCGCAGCATTGGAGTTCATTTTGGCCCCCTCCCTAAGGCCTCAACAAGGCTCGCTAAACCCTAAACCCGAAACCCTAAACCCATGACCAGTAGACCGGAACGGCTCAAACTTGGCACCGCCAGGTCAGTGCAGGCTCCGTCGAGGCCTGCGTGATAGACGTTGCGAGCTTTGCTGAGGGCTTCAAGCTGAAGGGCGTGTCTGTCATTCTTGGCATGTTTTGGAAGTAACCTGATTCCCGTATATTCTGTTCAAGCAGAATTTCGGGTTTGAGTGGGGGGCCCTTCGTAACATACTTCATGGCATCTGTTGGTTGTGGCGCCGGTCTGGAAGCCCATGAAGGAATCGCTGGTCCAAGCTTTCGAAGTTGCCCAGTATAGGAGTTACCAATATAGTTCCTTGGGGTACTTATTATGGTTGTAGAAGAATGTACCACCAAACACTGTTCTAATTTTTAAAGGCCAGCAGTAGAGAAGGCTTCTTATGTCGGGGATGTCGTGGAGAGCAGGGTGAGCTTGTGAATAACTGGAACGAACGCTGAGTTGGGGCTACGGGGCGGGTAGTGCACATGCCATTTCCCAGCAAGCCGACATCCCCTAAACCCGAACTCTTGAAGCACACCAGGCTTTCCATCCCTCGCACACATAAATACATACATACAGTTACATACATACGCACAGTTACATATACACACACAGAGTTACATACATACATACATACAGACATACAGACATACATACACACTTAAGAGACGCATCGGATTCTCATTCCCAGCAACACTAGCAAAGACGTTACTGACAATGTAGATAACAGAAGCTCCCGCCTAAACCCGAAATGCTCAACTCCTAAGCCCTTGAGCCTTGAACTTTAAGCAGTAATTTCCCGAACCCTACATAAACCCTCAGTCCCTACCGACTTGGCGAAGCCCTCCGATATGGGATGAACCTTACGAACCTCCATACGATTCCTAAATACAACCTACAGTACCCTATCAGGCAAAGGGCCTAAACGGCCTAAACTCTCTATAGACCCTAAACCCAAACAAAATACGGGAGCCCCTCAAGGATCCGTTAAAGGAACCCCTGACAGGAACCCTTCAAGGAACCCTTAAAAGAGCCCTTAAACCCTAAACCCTAAACTCTCAGGAGCCCTTCAAGGAACCCTTAAAGGAATCCTTAAACCCTAAACCTTCTGCCCTAAACCCTAAACCCTAAACCCTATACACATTAAAAAAAAAACCTTCAGGAGCCCCTTAAAGGGGCCCTTCGAAGGAACCCCCCGAAAGACTCTCGAGAATCCTGCGGAGGTGCAGGGTTGCAAGCTCTCGACAGGAAGTGTGATCTCCTCCTGTCCAAGGACGGTAACCCCTGGGTTCCCTTTAAGGGTTCCCTAAAGGGGTCTATCATGGATCTTTAAGGTTACTATTTCAGGGCTGTGCGGCGAATGCACCTTCATTACGGAGTACGGCTTAAGTAATAGAGGGATCCCGAATATGACTTAATGAATGTATAATGTACATTCCTGAAGAGGGGGGGGCATATTGGGCTCTCTGGCTCCTGTGGGTAAAGGGTTGAAGATAAACGATAGAGTTCAGAGTTTGGGGCCCGTGGGTTCTTGGCCAAGATCGTCACCCAAAGGGTCCTATGTACTGGTATGGGGGGATACTTCCCTAAGTCCTTATATGGAAACCCTACATTCTACTATATCGGTACATAGGACCCTTTGGGTAAGAGATTGAGGGCTTTGGGGGGGCTCAGGATGTAGCTGTGACAATGTCATATTCCAGTCGAGAGACCCATTGATAGTGTTCCTGCGCAGATCTGTTTCCCAAGTGGGCGGTTGTCAAGATTATGGTCCCTTTTTAGGTCCTTGTTACAATACGGCACCTAATCTTTCAAGTAGCTTTGTCGGTTCCGAAGTTCGGGCATCAAACTTTTGCACGTTTAGTAGGGTTTTGTCTGGGCGGTGGCTGAACTCGAGATGTTTGTAGCCTTCAGGGGTTGAGGAGTTTCGGGCTTAGGCGCAGGGGAACTCGGAAAGGAGCAACTTCACCGTCGGCCGCGTGGACGACAATGACAGTCACGGCACCGACACATGCGTCTACTATGGGCAGCTGATCCGATTGGGGCAGGGGGCTGAGAGGAGTTGGTTTGCGGTTTAGGGTGCGATGACCGTTACTGTTGCAATAGGGTGCGATGACAATTACTGTTGCAATATGGCCATACTGTACGATGGCGGCATGCTCGGCCCCTCCATTCATCTAAACTATTTATAACCACATGTGGTTGACGACTAAGTACTCGTCCATCCAATTCAGAGTACGGCTGTCTCCCGTCGTAGGCAAAGCCACTTGGCACCTTACCTTGCCCCAGCTCATCCTCCCTTTGAGATGCCAGCCTCGAAAAAACAGCACGATGGCGTGAATGCGATAGTGTTGAAGAGCCCTTAGACTCCACATTAATGGTGGATGGGAGACGGGTCATACGGTTGATGATATAAATCCTGCATTACCTTAATGACCCTAAACTATGGGAATTATGGTATATTCCTTATTATGGCTAATGCAAGATTTATATCATCAACCGTATGTCAAGGCTTTTCTTATCTGTGGCTGACCGAGAGCTTATAGGTCTCAGTTTCAGTAGCTGCTGAACTGAGTCTCCAACATCGTCCAGGACCTAGAGTAGGCCCTTATTCCCTTTTTTTATGGTTCAGGTTCCTTGATAAGCCCCTTCAAACCAAAAAGGGCACCCTGTTTGTTCCAAGGTTACTCTTGGGTGTAATCGTTTCATATCGCAGTCTTGAACACAGCCATCCCAGAGGGCCCCATGTTTGGAATTGGGTCCCGGCAGACCCACCCACTAAGGGTTTTGGGGACCTACTTCCGTGATGTTAGTGTATGGACTCTTGGACCGGAACAGAAACCCGAAGCCCAAAGCCCTAGGACTGAACTGAATCACCCAGAGAGCTCTACCACATATACTGTGCAGCACAGTGTCATTATAGTATAGCATACTTTACTATACCATGCTATACTACACCTTGAAGTGCCTACTCTCTTGTGGGGTCCCTGGAATCCATACTGCAGTGTAACGTAAGAACCTGCAAGGAAGTGTGGTCTGGTAGCTTAAGGTATACTGAAACACCCTAAACCCCAAACCCCTAAAGCCCTAAACCCTACACTGAAACACCCGAAACCCTGCGCCCTGAGCCCCAAAACCTAAGCCCATAAACCCTACACTGAAACACCCTCATCCCTAAACCCTAAAAACCCGCACACCCTGGACCTTAAACAAAGCCTCGGCTTTTGCTGAGGACTCCCCCAAACCCAAAGCCCTAAAGTTCTAAACCCTAAACCCCCCAATCCTAAGCCCCAACACAAATCCTCTGCTTTTGTTGAGGACCCTAAACCCTAAACCCAAACCCTAAGCCCCGCTGAGGACTCATGAGGCTCTTGCTGAGAAGCCTTGCTACCTCTATGCCAGCACTCAGAGCGGCCTGGAGCTCACTTCGGTTCAGGGAGTTTAGGGTTTAAAGTTTAGGGTTTTAGTTTTAGGGTTTAGGGAGTTTAGAGTGTGGGGTTTAGGTTCAGGGTTTACTGTTTAGGGTTTTTCAAGTTAAAGGCCTAGGGAGTTTAGGGTTTAGGGAGGTTAGGGTTTAAAGTTTAGGATGTTTCAAGTTAAAGGTTCAGGGAGTTAAGGGTTTAGGGAGGTTAGGGTTTACAGTTTAGGGCTTTTCAAGTTAAAGGTTTAGGGAGTTTTGGGTTTAGGGAGTTTAGGGTTTAAAGTTTAGTGTTTTTCAAGCTAAAGGTTTGGGGCGTTTAGGGCTTAAGGAGTTTAGGGTTTAAGGTTTAGTGTTTTTCAAGCTATAGGTTTGGGGCGTTTAGGGTTTAAGGAGTTTAGGGTTTGAGGCTTAGTGTTTTTCAAGCTAAAGGTTTAGGGCGCTTAGGGTTTAGGGAGTTTAGGGTTTGAAAGTTAAAGGTTTAGGGCTTGGGAGTTTAGGGTTTAAAGTTAAAGGTTTTGGGGCTTACGGAGTTTAGGGTTTACGGTTCAGTTTAGGGTTTAGAGTTTAGCATTTAAAGCTCAGAGTTTATGGTTTAAGGCATGGGGCTCCCCCAACTACCCTCTAATATACCCGAAGTACCCCCTATTCACTATTCAGGACCATAAGGACTCTAGCAAAGGGCACATGAGGATCTTGGCAGGGCTATGGCTTAAGAGTCTAGGATTCAGGATTGATTTAGGCTTTCTGTTTCTGCTTCTTTCGGCATCAGAGGTTGGTATAGCTGCTTAGATAATTAGAGCACGGTCTGGGAAAATGCTTCCAAACAAACGAGCCAGAGGAAGGATCGCAAGGCCCTTTGCCCATCTGATCGCAGCAGCATCCTTTGTAATACCCTGAACTCTGAACCCTTAAGAAGAAGCTCAACCCTGAGAGCCCTAAACCTAAACCCCTCAAGCCCCTAAACCCCTCAACCCTCAACCCTTGCAGCGAGAAGCTATCGGTCCTCTGGCCAAGGCGATGACGGATCTGGCCAGGCAGCTTTAGTTCAGGGTTTAGGGTTTAGGGCTTTCCCGACTTTCTCGCTTCTGTGGAGTTGCCAAGCACGGTTGGCCTTAAGTTTCGGATCTAGCGCGGACATTCACGAGTGTTTGCCGAGCGTGCCAGATGTCTGTAGGACGGAGCTCTGTGATGCAAGCCCGTGAGATTGCTGGCTTTCGACGGAGGTGCTAATCAGCGTCTGTCCACGTGCTGCGGAGGGTTCGCCGTGCTGGCTCGGCCTTATATCAAAGGGTTGCAAGAATGTTGGGTTCAGTAGGGTCTTAGGGTTAGGGCTTCAGGGTTTAGGCTTTGGGGTGTAGGCCTCGATGAAAGAGTCGGCCCAAGCTTCGAAGGGCTGCCGAACCACGCACCTTGAGGGCTTCAGAGACTCCAATATCCCTTAGTTAAGGAATATTCCTTAAATCATATTAAGGATCCTACTATAATTTAAGGTCTATTCCAAAAGTAAGGGGTATTGGAGTCTCTAGAACTTCTGGGATCTGGCCGGGGGCCTTTTGAGGGGAAGCCTCGGAAATAGTAGAGAAGCCTAGGTGTTATTCATCCTCCGGGTCCCATCTCATAGTATATTTTCTTCAATTCAGCCCAGAACTAAAACCCTATTCCAATGAAATTTTGGCCCCTGCATTCGGCCATGCCTTCCTGCACCAAAAACGCTAAACCCTGAGCTTGAACTCCAGATCTTAGACGATTGAAAGCCCCGGTGGGCTCCCATTCATAAACATCCTGAAGCTTTTGTTAGGCGCCAACCCGAAATCCTAAAATGAACCCTAAGCCCTGAAAAATACACCCTAGACCCCCGACCCCCCCAAATAATGGATTCAGGGTTTACGGTTTAGGGTGGACTTTGGAACGTTGTACATTACTTGTAGCTGCCTTCTTGCGGGTTTTGGCTCAGACTTCGGAACCTTCATCATCTTCCCCAAGGGTGTGTCATGAAGCCTTCTCTCGTGGTCATTAAGACCCGCATCGTGTGCATGTACTGCGAGAACTGCATGTTGCTGCATGCTGTCATCATCCTTGGCTCCGGGTAAGAATGCACAGAAGGAATGGATGAGTCGAGCGACTTTAATATAGGGGCCTGAATAATTCAGATATACAGGTTTTCCATGAGTTTAGTACCCTATAACTCCTATAATGACAGTCAGGAGCCGTACGGAACAGTATTCGTACATATTAAAGCTTCCAGATGACAGTTGTGTCTAGGTTCTGCCATGTACACTTCGAAGATCCCGTTAACAAAATTCACACTCTTATGGCTTGTAAGGCTTCCTGTGAAACGTTTTTTTAGGCCTTCTCGTTTGCAAGATGCTCAACATCTGGAAGATATCTAGGGAAGAGTTGGCTTCTTTTCCGGTAGAGGAGCTCAGTGATGTGATAAGTCTGAAGCACCGACTGCGAGCGAAGCACCAGATACCAGTCAGCCTTCTTCGGCTCGTCTACATATGACGGCCGCAGATTGGATGATGCCTTCACGCTGTGCATGCCCATGGACGTCCAGCTCATCGTGAAATCCCGTGCAGACAAGCTCATAGCTTCCAACGAGCTGCTCGGAGCAGCTGCCGACGGTGAGGCAGAGGCTGTGCGCTTGCTGCTCGTGGCCGAGGCGGGCAAGGACTTCGTGGACCAGCATGGGAAGACAGCGCTTATCTTGGCCACCGACAACGGCCGTGAGGAGGTTGTGCGAGTACTGCTTGAAGCCGGTGTGGCTAACTGCAGTGGGCAAAACCGCTCTAATCCACGCATCCTCTCAAGCGACCTTAGTATCGTGCGTTTGCTTCTGGAGGCCGGTGCAAACCAGGACGTGCAAGATGCACTAAGAAAAACAGCTCTGGCCTACTCCGCTTCTCAGGGTCACGTTGAGATAGTGCACTTGCTGCTAGAAGCTTCTGCGTCCCCGAACTTGGCTGATCGATGTGGCCAGACAGCGCTTCATTCGGCAAGCTCAAACGGCCATGTTGAGGTCGTGCGCGTGCTGTTGGATGCCGCTGCGTGCGTGGAGCTGTCAGATCGGAAGGGCAGAACAGCCCTCAGCTATGCATCCGAGAGCGGCCATGCTGATGTTGTCCGCTTGCTGCTTGAAGTTGGGGGGGTTGGAGAGTTGATGGACAAGTGCAGACTATCCCTCCGCTATGCCTCCGCAGGGGCCGCTTTCAGGTGACGCAGCTGCTTCTTGAGCACAGGGCGGCCGTGGACTCCATGGATCAGACAGTAGCTCTCATCGAGGCTGCGGAGATCGGCCATGTTGGGGTGGTGCAGTTGCTGTTGGGAGTGGGCCCTGCTAAAGATACTACAGATGACTATGGCAAGACAGCTCTGATTTATGCATCGGACAACGACCATTTTGATATTGTCCGCATGCTGTCAGAGGCTCGTGCTGCTACGGACGTAATTGACCGTAGTGGCAAGACAGCTCTGCTGCGTGCCGCCGCTAAAGGCCACACTTCTATCGTAAAGTTGCTGCTGGAGGCCGGTGCTGCAGTGGACTTTTCAGACGGATATGGCAAGACGGCTCTCGTATCTACATCCGAAGCAGGCCACGCTGATGTTGTTGGCTTGCTCTTGAAAGCCCGTGCTGTTGCGGATTTGATGGACCGAGGTGGCAGGACAGCTCTTATGCGTGCCGCTGCCAAAGGCCATGTACATGTCGTGCGGTTACTGCTGGACATCGGCGTTTGTACAAACCTTTCAGATCGGATGGGGAAGACAGCTCTTGCGCTTGCCCCTGCCAACGTTCATGATGAGATTGTGGGCTTGCTGGTGAGTACAGACATGCCTGGCGAAGACTCCAAATCATCGAGAGCTCAGTACGCTTCTTAGTGAAGCAATGTTGCCAACAATCGCAGACACCTGCTCAAGCCCCCAAATAGGACACTGGTAATCCCACCCACAACTGCAGGTCAACTTTTCGTGAGGCTGCGCCTACTTGTGTAAAGCTGAAAGCCATTACACTCTCAAGTTAAAATGTACTTACTAGCAGCCGCCATGAAACTTGAAGTGGTGGGCACTCACATCTTTCGCGGTGAATGGGAGCCCCAACTCAGGTTGCTCCACAGCTTTGTCCTTCTCCAGAAGGATTTGTAGGGCTGAAGGTTTAGTTCTTAAGTTTGAATTACCAATTGGTACAAGAACGACCCAAGGAAAGAATCGCAATAGCGGCTAGGTTTGTTGGAGGCATGTGCAGCAATGAGGGAATTCTGTGAACTTTGAGAAACGCGGCCAGAGTCAAGTACGGTGCTCAGTAGTAGAATAGGTAACCCTCAACGTTTGTTGAACCACTTCTTCCTTCGGTGCCAGGCATTGGCGGGTGTGCCGAGGGTCAAAGAACCAGGCAGACGCCCAGAGGCCAAATGCGATGTTCGTGAAACGTTGAGAGTTGTGTGGCAGTTTATGGGTTTTAGGGTTTAGGATGAGGAATCAGGGGTTTGAGGTTTTTTCTATGTCGGTTTAGAGGTATTCAGGAGACCAGAGTTTCGGGATTTAGTGTTTGGGGTTAATTGGGGTGTTTAGAACTTATGGTTTAACGCAGGGGTTTCTGCTCTAGACTCTAGACTCTGGCTTAGGTGTAAAATGACACCAAGAAAGGGGCCTGAATAATTTCACATATTACTTTGGGAGTTCCTTACTATACTTGTGGTATAATTTACCCCCCAAAGCCTGTGCTGATTATTAAGGGCCCTAAAGTGCATCATAGTCATCGAACCAACATAGCAACCCCTGGCCACTCCTGGGTCCATGTTCCCAGGCCTTCCAATGTCTCTCAATTAAGGAATATACCACTGAATCATATTGGGGATTGTATATTATAATGGCTTGATGCCAGTTAAGGAGTCTACAATAAACCATATGAGTAGTTGTCAAAATGATAGTCCCTTTTTGGGCCCCTATTATATATTATGGTACGGCACCTAGTCTTTAGGGTACCCAAATTGGGACCTGATTTTGACAACCACCCTTTCAGTGACCCTACTATAACCCCCACTGTCTCCCATGGCTTCCAGAGCCCGAAACCCACTTCGAGATTCCGATGCCCCCTGAAGCAGAACCCTTCCCCCCTCCCCCCTAAAAATCCAAAACGCCGCCCAAAGCCCGTAACTCCAAATAAAAGGCCAACATCCCAAAACCCAAAGCCCACCTAAATCCCTATACAAACCCGAAAGTGAAGCACTAACACCCTAAAGCCCTCAAACCCTGGATTTCCTAAAGTCCTAAACCCTAAACCCTCCTTAACCTTAAACCCTAAACCTTTCAACCCTAGAATCCCTAAAACCCTGAAGCCCGCAGCCCCACAGGGATGCAGACGACAGCAGACGCAAAGTCGAGCTCGGCGACCTCATCCGCTTAGTCGGGCCTCGCTCGTTTTGGAGTTTAGGGGGGGTTTAGTCATAGGAGGCCAGGTTTAGTAGGGATTAGGGTTCCCATAATAGGGTTCATATTAAGGAATCCCTACCCCAGGAATCTCAAACCCCTCTTTTGGCCTCCCATCATTTAGGGTTTAGGGGAGTTTGGGGGTTTCAAGGGTGCAGGGTTCATGGGTTTAGGGTTTAGGGTTCCAGTTCAGGCTTTTAGGGTTTAGCGGTTTCGGGGTTAGGGTTATTCTTGCAGGAATTGAAAGCCAAATAACATGAAAGGGTTTAGGGTTGTAGTGTTTTGGCCTTAGGGGTTCGTGGTTTAGAGTTTGGGCTTAGCCAACCCTTACCTTTGGTTAGTAGGGAATGGAGGAATGGGGTACAATTATAACTACTATTACTACCATTCTTCCATTCCCTACTAACCAAAGGTAAGAACCCGGAGGGCGGAGTTTTGGGAAAAACATCCGGTGCAGTGCAGGGTGTCCTGAATTGAACGGGAGCCTTGGCGCAAATCCTTGTAGGTGCTAACAGGGTTTCGGGGCTAGGGTTTTGGGGGTTTTGGGTCGAGGTTTATAGTGTGTTTTGGCGGGGGTTTTATCTAATTTAGGGCTTGTAGGGTTAGTAGTTTGAAGGAGTTAAAGACTTCCGACATTGCGTGTGAGTGACGTAGAGTCTGGAGTTCACTTCGACCTTTCCTCTGCCTGTTTCCGAAGGTTGTACACGAGCCAGGCGAGTGTCTCGCTAGTTTCGGCCAGCTTGTGGCGAAAGTCTGAACTCAATGGATGGCTCAAGCCAGCATTATATGGGAGGGGGGGGGGGGTTCAAGGCTTAGCCTTGTAGAATTACCGTTTAACGCGTCAAGACCTGAAAGCCCCGTCGGGCCCAGAAGCACCAGTGCCCATGGGAAGTGGAAGCTCAGCTGCCATCCGCCAGGGGCTTGCATCTTCATCTGCGGACGATCTCAGGGAGCTGGTTCTGGGACTTCCATCGGAAGAGCAGTCCAAGCTGGGCGAGGCCGTGGAGAAAGCACAGGGCCAGAGAGTCGCGCTCGGAACTGCCGACTTGTCCAGCTTCTTTAGGAAGACCTACCTTGATGGTGGCCTATACGACGGCTTGTCCTACAGGGAGGATATCGTCGAAGGAAGTCAACCAACATACAGGTACGATGCTCCCGACCGGCCGGTGCATGTTTGGCGGCATGCCCTCGATCTGTGTGGTTCTCATGAAGAAGAGGATGTCATCGTGTTGTATCACTACACGAACCTCATGGGCTTCATGAACGTCCTCCGACCTGTTGTTTCAGAAGTCCTGTTCTTAAATGTGCAGAAGTGTTATTAGACGAGGCTTCACCCCAGTCAGAAAGTGAGCTTTTGAACCCTGCCCAATGCTGTACCAAGGTGTCAAATGTGCAACAAACTACGTCGGAGCTTTTTGCTTCTCTAGTGGACTCTCGTGCACATTTTGGAAAGGGGCTTTATGCGACACAGCATGAGCCATCAGTGTGGCAGCACCGACTTCGCATACTCTTGAACAACTACAGCAACGGCGATCCTTGGAGAGTGGACCTCCAGGACGATGAGTGCAAGCTCAGGAACCAGGAATCTGGGTTCAGGTTAAGCCATAATTCGGATACCACAGTTTTTGCTACAGAGCCCTAGTAAGGTAACCTAACTGAGTCAAATTTCTTAACAAGTCCCAGGAATGGGGCGACGGGAGTGCATTCGGACATAGGGCCGCATTCTGCGTGCCCCTGCTTGTGCCCAGAGAGTTGGCGTACAACATCTTCCAAAGATTGACACCCGACATGAGGCAGAGGCGTATTCAGGGCGAGGACGGAGGAGAGCGTGCGGTGAGGTTGGGGGAAGACAAAAAAGGACGTGAAGTGCACTCAAGGCGAGATGTGTGGGTTGTGCGACTGATGGATGAGAATGGCCAGGTTCAGCATGCAACCGCTGCAAACCGGGGCCTCATTGATCTTCTCACCCTTCGCCTGTCGAAGCTCCGAACCACGCAAAAGCTGTCGGACACTCAAACTTTTGACTGCGCTATGGAGCTTGGATTTCGATTGTTGAGCCGGGGCAGGTTCAATGAAGCAGAAGGCCTGTTGCAAGACTGTTACAACGAATGCAAGAGGGAGCTTGGAGATGTTCACCCCACCACTGCGAAAAGTGTTCTTGCGCTCGCTCACACATGTCGCGAACATGGGCAGCTCCTGTCCGCGGAACATCTACTTCGAGATTCTGTTGCGGCGGTGAAGAGCCAATTAAGTCCAGAAGAAGCCTGCAAACTAATGCCGGCCCTCGCTAACGAGCTGGTCCAGTGCTTCGTGGATGTGCAGCGGTTCGAAGACGGGGAGCAGTTCCTGCAGGATGTAGAGCCATTCTTATCGGCAGAATACTGCGCCCAGGGCCATGCCCAGCTAAAAATGGCCCGCCTCGCCAACTCCGGGAAACCGGAGCAGCTCGAGGAGAAGTACCGAAGAGAGTTGCTCGAGAGCCGGCAGAAGCTCGGAGCCATGCATCCACAGACCTTGGAGCTGACTAACTCTTTGGGAAAAGTCTTGCTGGATACAGCTGAGAACTATTTCGAGGCCGAAAGGATGCTGCTTCGAGATCAACTGGAATCTGCCGAGCACAAACTCGGTATGCATCCTATCCTGTTGGAGACGATGGCGATCATCTCCCTAGTTTATGCCCTCCAAGACAAGGGCGAAGAAGCCATCGAACTCGGAAAGCGCAGCTACGAAGGCAGCTGTGAGATGCTGGGAGCGAGTCATCCGCAAACGATGGATCGACTGCGCCAGTTGGCAGAGATTCTCCAGATGGTGGGGCGTGCTCGTGAGGCGGGGTGAAGGAGGGTCTTCTACATGCTGGCAACGGAAGGGGTCTCCCATGGTTCTGGAGATTTAAGAATCGAAGGCTACAATCTACTAGAAGAGTAGATGCGACTCTTGAAGGAGCTGTTGCATTACCACCAATTGTTTTTCAAACCTATAAGCCGAATCTCCATATGCTGATCCTAAACTAAACCCTACAGTCAGACCTAGTGAGAGGCTGAGCAGCTTTACCACAGCTGCGTTCATCTGTGCGAGGAGGCCGGGTTTCGGAGAAATTCGCGGCTCACGACCCCTTCAGTTCAAGACATCTAGTACGAATATTTGGGAGTTTGGGAAAGTAAGGGACATGCATATCGATCCAATTTAGCAAGATCCTTGATATGCGGACCCAAGAAAAGAAGTCCCTGCTTGCCTCCTGTCGCAGCCTACTACAAGCCCTATAAGAAGACCCAAGCCCTGGACCCGAAAGCTTAAACCCGACACCCTCAAGGTCTTCGGAGAGACGCACCAGCGAAGTCTGCAAACAAAGGCTTTGTTAGCGGTTCTCCTCTTCAAGCGGTCGGCAGAGTGAGGTCCTTTCGGGTCTGGGAATCCAGGGTTTGTGGGTTTCGGGTTTGGGAGTTTTGGGGCATAAGGGTTTTGGGTTTTGGATGTAGCGATTGGTGTTTAGGGCTTATCGGTATAGGGTGTAGGGTTTCATAGGGCTTCAGGGTCTCATAGGGCTCGTTTACTGTCTTCTTCGATGTGTTTCCGAGATTCTGCGGTGTGTGGGCTTGGTTCGTGACGCCGTGAACCTAGTATGGTCCACAAATGAGTGTAGACAGATTGATACACGTGCTGTTGTGTGTTGTGCTTGGATGCTCATATGTCATACGTCATAGGACCAGCAGCTGAACCGAGGCCTTTTGCATGAAGCAGACGAGCGCCAAGCATGGGCATTGTAGGAAATCTAGACCCTCCTGGATGAAGAAAGACTACAGTAGGAGATTGGATTGAGAGTCAATGGGGCCACTGTTACTGTAGGATGAATCCACGTTGTCAGGGTTTTGGGGTTTTTCAAGGTGGCTAAAGCCACTTTGAGGTGCACACGACATGTGCAAGTCCCTGCAAGGAGGCGATAAAGCTTGGGCTGGAAGCAGTGACAGGCACCCTGCGCACGTCGGACGGATTTCCAAATGAGGAAACGGTCGAGCTCATCGACGTCATGGCACCGCACTTGCTTCATCAGGGCCGTTTTCATGAAGCTTTGCCACTGCTACAGTCGAGCCTGAAGACCAAAGAGGCCAAGCTGGGAGGTTCTAATAGCATCACCGAGCAGACCAGGAGTGCTTTTGCAAACTGCCTTTGCTACCTCGGGCGATGGAATGAGGTCGAGGCCCTCTGCTGTGAGAGGCTGGAGGCCTTGCAGCAACTGGGTTCTTGTTAAAGGATCTAATTTAAGTTGCCATAATAAGGAAACCATATTATTTACTATAGATCCCTATTATGCTGTGCAAATGAAAGTCCTTAACAAGAACCCAGGCAAGTGAGCCCGCCGAATTGGGAGAAGATCAGCACCGTGAAGCGGGGGTTAGCCGGATCCCTTCTTCAGCAGCTCCGGTTCGCAGAGGCCGACCAGCTGCTGCAGGAGGCCTTGGTCACCAACCGCAGGGAGCTGGGAAACTGGGTTCTGATTAAGGAATTTAGATTCATTTAACATAACAGGGATCTATAGTTTGGGAGTTCGCTCTATCATGTTCTGAAGGGGCTTCTTTACAGGGGTATTTGGCAACATTTCCCTTGTGCACTTGGCTACTTTATCCTGCGTACTTGACTACTTTTGTTTTGTGCACTTGGCTACTTTCTCTTCTGCACTTGGCTACTTTTTCTTGTGCACTTGACTGCTTTATCGTCCGACGCCAGGCTCCCAGAAACGGCTCTGGAAGCGGCATGCGGCATGATGGAATCCCAGGGTCCCAGATGAGCCATAGACCCCAAAAGCGGGGTTTAAAGAAATAGCCGCCGCCAAACATCGAGATCTCTCTCCCAAGAATTCACTAATTCACGGCTTGTGTGAGCCATGGCTGATTTCGATTTCTTGTCTGTGTTGGAGCTGGCTTCTGATAACAATCCGCCCGAGCCGGCTTCTAACGACAACGAAGCGCCTTGTGAAGACG